GTGAGGGCCGTGAGTGCAAGAGGCCCCCTTCATATCGAGCATCTTTCTCAGCAATTTCGGTGTTAATGGCGGGTTGTTCTTAAGCTTTCCCTAGATCGACACGAATTGCTGAGATCGGGTCCGGCTCGAAATAAGCAAGCAACTCGGAGCAATTCCAATACGTTTGAAGCGGCTGCATCTAATCAGGGACGCAAAATTTTTACGTGATACCTCGTGCCGGTGATGATGACACGGAAAGACTTGGTTCTCGTTTGAAATCGATCGTTTTTTTTTTTGGAAATAAACTGCTTCAAAAAGGTGCATTAGTATTCTTAATGAGATTTAACTGCATTAAAAGATGTTTATAATGCGCAATTGTGTCTAAATACTGCAAGAAAAATAAAATTTTATGATGACGATGGCAAATTGCAGCAATTGGTTGCTGCGTGTGATCGCGGGCGGCGCGTGTTCCTGGTGTTGCGACGTAAAGTTTCTGGGCGAAATTGCCCCATCTGAAGCTGGCCTGAGTGGCGTGAGGGCCATGAGTGCGTGAGCGGCGTAAGGGCCATGAGGGCGGTGAGGGCCGTGAGGACGGTGAGGGCTATGAGTGCGTGATGGCCGTGAGGGCGGTGAGTTGCGTGAGGGCCATGAGTGAGTGAGGGGCGTGAGGGCCGTGAGGGCGGTGAGGGGCGTGAGGGCCGTAAGGTTCAGTGAGGGTGAGTGAAGGGCTGAAGGTGAGTGTGACTGTGAGGGTGAGTGAGGGGCTGAAGGTGAGTGTAGCTGTGAGGGTGAGGGTGAGTGAGGGGCTTAGGTGAGTGTGGCTGTGAGGGTGAGTGAGGGCGACCTAAAATGCCGACCTCTGCCCGTAACCAAACTGCACTGTGCAAAAAGAAAAAAAGCTCCTCTTCTTCTTTTTTTTTTCTCAATTCGGTGTTCTCCGCTCCTCTTTTTTACCTCCTTGCTCGCGGCGCGCAACCCCCCTTAACCAAACTGCGCTGTGCAAAAAAAAAAAAAAAAAACAAGAAGAAAAAAAACAAGCTTTTTCTTTTTTTTCTTTTTGCAAGCTGTTTTGTTCACTTAGAGAGCTTCTCCGCTTCTCTTTCTTACCTCCTTGCATCAACGGCGCGCGAACCAAAAGTCCAAACTGCGCTGTGCAAGAAAAAAAAAAAAAAGCTCCTCTCCATGTTTTTTTTTTTTTTTCTTGCTTCCGTTGGATCTTTGCGAATTTTCTTAGCGCCTTTTGCAAGGCGTTTTGTTCGCCCACGCTGCCCATGCATTCGTGACCTTGCTGCACCAAGATAGAAAAGTGTGTTCATTTGACATTAAAGTTGGGGGTGCGTTTATTACGCGAGTGAAAAAAAAAAGTCGAAATTTCGAGAGCCGACTTGGGGGGTGCGTTCATTGTGCGAGTAAATACGGTATTTAAGTGTGGTTTCAAAATCCCCACGACGCCTCAACAGACGACTATGACAACTCCACAGAGATAGTTGAGAGCTTTACGGACGACAGACCAGATGCACAACTGAACACCCAGTCCTATGTAACCGGGTGGGCAGCCAGTCAGATCTGCTATCATGCTTGCTAAGTCCAAGTGCAATCAGAAACATGGAACACCTCGAAGGACATTCTGTTGAAGAACAAAAAATATTCGCATGCAAAAATGACACCAACTTAGCTCGTCACCCACCTGGTAAGACGAACCGTACCTTCGAAAAACACATTTTACTGGTGTATTGCACCAGTCAAGAGTTCGGCAGAAGGCAGACTTGAGGCCGCTCATCGACACTTGAAACAAAGACACGGTGCGCAAAGATTGCCTGGACACATACGTCAACAAGTACTTGAATGTATATTTGAACTGCTTTGTCAAGTGAGCAAACAAAAAACCTGCCGAAGTTACTGGAAAAAAAATGCGAAAGCAAAAAAGGGTCACACACTGCTAGTCAAAGCGGATTGCAGCCTGCGACTTTTATTTACCGGGCAGTGAGAGCTGGACTACGTAATTCCTTTCCCCTGTTTTGTTGTTAGGTTCTACCAATGTCGCGAAAGCAAATAAACAAGCGTGTAACAAGCAGCTGAAAAAAAAAAAATTGCAGTTCTTTTCTTTTCTGATTAGTTTCTTTTCGTGTTGCTTCCGCTCGGTTTGAACTGGACTGAACACCGACAAAGACCATTACCTGCTAATTTTCAATGCTCCTACCGATGCCCCACGCGTGAAATGCTCAAACTGCTGACGCTTTCCATTTTTTTTTTCAATAAGCACCGCAACGATTGTTGTCGTTGCAAGAATTTCTTTATTGGGTGATTTGTATATTTGTATCGTATGCTAACTTCTTTGTTTTATTAACCGTTCGTCGCAGCTGTTCCCCATTTCTTTCTATTTTCACTTGGGATGGGGACCCCATCTTTCCTGCAAAGCTCGGAAAGTGTTTGCACAGTCATATTTCTCGTTACCTTTTGTTTTTGTAATGCTGCAGCAGCTGGTGCGCTTGCTCTGGTAACCTTAACATGTTGTATGCGCACGTTTTAATGATAGCATATTCTGGTAAAAAACAGTGACAACGCAGTTTGTAACGGATCAACACTAACCTCGTATGACCTAGTTCCAGTAACTAAACACCTTTTTTCCGCTTGAAAAGCAGATGCCCTTCAAACCCATGTGATCCCCAGAGTGGCGTCTGAGATTGCTAAATAAACTGCTTTATCTTTGTTTTTGCACGCGTTGTTATTCTACTGTCGTTGCAGTCGCGATCAGTGGGTACCACTTTGCAAGCGAACTGACCGTAATTAATTGTTTTATTGTTGGGATGACGAAACGGGTCTCGCAAAGCTCGAGGATGTCACAGAGTCCATACTTTTCCACTGCGCAGCCTACTTCCGTAGGCTCCAAGTCCGCTAGAGGCGCCACTGTCGCGTTCACCGCCGCTCCAGTGGGTTTTCGGAGGAGTTTCCACCATTGGCGAAGCTATATCGTATTTGGATATAGTTATATTAAAACAACCGACTTTAGAAGTGGACAAGTTTAAGGTTGGGAAGAACCTTCACGAGTTCAGCTCAATTTTCATTTCAGCATGATACAACGGTCATAAAAGGCTTCAAGAAACTTTTTGATATTTGATTAAAAAATATTTTACAAAACCCCCTATTTGCTTTGAACTTCACAAATGTTTTATGTGTGTGTGTGTGTGATTGGCCCAAGCCATTTTGGAGCACCTTTCAGAGCAGCCAAAACAGCGTTTTGGAGCAACAAATTTGGCCTTTGGAGACACCAAAACAGTGGTTTGGAGCAGTAAAAGTGGCTTTTGGAGCAGCCAAGACAGTGTTTCGGAGAAGAAAAGTGGCTTTTGGAGCAGATATTCTTAGAAAAATAAAAATATATGTTTGAAGTACTGTACAAGTGAAGGGCACTTTGTGTTGAGACTTGCGCAGTGTTCTAATGTGACGTGTTGTGACGGAACTCGCTGCTTGCGTCTTTACTGCTGAGACATCCCATAAGTGTACAGTCCTGTAGGCGTTGCCGAGCAATTCCGAAAAACCGCTTGCCACCATTTTATTGGTTCCCGACGTATTAGATTTTCGCCAAAAGTAAGCAAACGTAAGACAATGGATTGCAAGCGTCCCGGCTGGTGCCTCTATCGTGCAATCAAGTTCGCAAGCATGTGAGGGCATCTTCAGCAGGCCCGCAGTTGCGCGTGCTACGTTGCACGAGCGAAGACAACGGCTGTTTGATCGAAACCAAAACCCTGTCACTCCGCTCCGTCTCCAACTGATTCCCGAAATTGTATGCAAAATGTAACTGTCGAGCATACGACGACAAACAGTCCAGCGCCGCGTTCTTGTCAGGCAGGCAAATAAGGTACAAGCTAAACACATAAAAAAAAAAAAAAAAAAGAACCTGAGCGCATTGATGCAAGACATCGCAAGCCAGAGCCAAAAGTTCTTGGAGCACTTTGCGCAACGACTGAACTCGAGACAAACAAGTGCGAAGTGCGGGTTCAGCACAGACAATGCCTTCTTTGCTTTAGCTCACTTCTCTTCACCAACTTTCTTATCGCGGCAGATTTTTCACGTACCGGGGTTCCCTCGAAAGAAAGCCCACTGAGAGAAACCTAGGTAATCCATAATTCGACATTGCAGTCTTTGAGTTGAAGAGGGATTTTAGTAGTAACGTATGATTTAAACAAGAGCAGGAATGTTGATGAACATGCGGCGGTACTTAGTTTCATTTTAGAAAGCGCCATATCTGCAGCAACGTGGGGACGGAACCACCTGACGTCGCGCGACCAAAGTGTCTGGAAGGCAGGGGTTAAATATAGTTTTCCCACGGCTGTTGCTGTCAGGAGCGAGTGCTTCAGTTCACAGAGTAACTCCCACTGGTGCAAAAACGCGGTTTCATTTCACAGCACGACGGCATGGCTGGCACCCGGTACGCTATAGCGTCGGAGCCTCCGCACACACTCGTGTCTATCGATGAAAATATAAAAAAAAAAAAAGACTCAAAGCGACACCCACGAGACGACGAGAGCGCGAAATGCCAGATGGCGGGAAAACATGCAGGACCGGATGGACAATTGATGCAGGGTACTTTGTGTGGGTCGGCTGCTTGCGCCACGTAACACACGCATGCTCAATTACGGTGCTCAGTTTAGTTTCAGTTTTAAAAGGCAACCAAAACTTTTTTGGGCGCAGGCTTGGCGCAGATTACCAACATTTTGGCAAAATGTAGTGGGATGTAGCAGGGTTAGCCCCTTGGCGCAATTGGTGCAGCAATCACATCACTGGTGTGCCTGCTCATAATTAGGCCTGTGTAGAGAAAAGTAAAAGAAATCTGTTTGGTATGTGTAGCTTTTCCCATAGCAAATTGCTACTCTGCCTCACATCATATTTAGATGAATCTCTGATAACTCAAACTTCTAATACATCAAAATAAAGTCTGTGGTTTCCTCGAGTTTGAATTAATGAGAGTAGACTGTAAAACTAAATGTGCTGGTAAGCTAAGACAAACATGTGAAAGTGCTTACACGTCAGAGTTTGCTTGAGCCTTGTTTGCCGCATAAAGAACTGCTGTCAGGGCTATCTAGAACGAGAAAAAAATTATAAAGACATTTACAAATCTCTGTAATGCGAACATAGAGAGCAGCTCTTGAGGAGGAGGGGGAGGGTACAGAGGGGAGGGTATGCCCCTCCTCCTTTAATCCTCATCTCTCCTCGTCCTCCTCCGCACATGACATCAATTCTCCCGCTAAATCTAGCGGAGAAGCTGAATTTGTTCATAGGTGACGTGATAGCAAGTTATGGGACATTTTTTCCAGCGGGGAAACTGAATTGGTGTCGAGGCCACATGACAATTTTTCCGCTAAATTTAGCGGGGAACTGAATTGCTGTTGAGGTCACGTGACCATAGGCGTAGACTACGGGGAGGCACCCCCCCCCCCCCCCCCGGGGCCATGATCCTTATCGAGCACACCAAGACGCTGTTCACGTGCCATGTAACGAGCTTCTAGTAGTGGCATGTAAACAAAATAACGCCCACGTTGCCTTTATTGACAAAATACATGAGAAATGGAATCCCAGCATGCTTTCGTTAGCTTCAATCTCCAGTTCTGGCGAGAAGGTAATGCGCATCAATCACTTTTACGTCCGCTTGGTCTGCTTCCTTAGCAGCCTGCCATCTTGCGATGTCCCACCAGAAAAAAAAAAGATAAACAAAACAACTGGAAGTCTATATTGAGGGTGCCTACTCCATCCGGAGCTGCTTAAAAAGTCCGTTTAGCAGCGACTCCGACGGAGTCACTACTAAAGATTTCATATTGGTGCTCGCCGGCGCGTGCACCGTGGCACCGGCAGTGAACACACGGCTACGCTCGCAAGGTGATTGACATTGACACACAGCAACAAACACATGGCGATATACATATGCTGTAAAATGTACCCCTAAAATAAACTACTGATAATTGCCGGTGTGAAAAAAATTGCGCAGAAAAGAACCCTCCCCCCCCTGAGAACTTCTCAGCCTGCCCCCCCGGAAAATGGAAAGTCTACGCCGCTGCACATGACGTCAATTTTTCTACTAAATCTAGCGGAGAAACTGAATTTGTTCATAGGGACATAACACCATGTCATGTGACGCCATTTTTCCCGCTATATTTAGCGGGGAATTGAATTGGTGTTGAGGTCACGTGACATCAATTTTCCCGTTAAATTTGGCGCGGTTACGTTGACGCGGCGAAAGCCGGAAACGGGCGCCTAAGAGCTGCGCTCTAAAACAATACGATCCTCCTTGAGTCGAGATGGTAGCTTGGCAAGACGAGAAGTAAAAAAAAAAATAATGAGAGCTATACTTGTGGACAATTCCTGTGGCTATGCAGTCAAAGGTATGGGGGCACATGCACAAACGCCTATTAAAGCTGCGCATGCACACTCATCTCATTGAAAATGAGACAAAAAGTTGTCCACGGGTATTGGAGCCAACATCGAGTAGCAAATTGAGCATATAAACAAATATAGAAAAGCATATGCATTCACAGTTAAAGTTTAATTGCAAAGACATTAAAAAGGTGCAGAAGTTTATGGCAGCACAAGAGACAAATGCCTTCAGTTTAACGATACCCATACATCACAACGTCAGAAGCAGGTACTACCCGATCATTGTCGAGTTCAGGGTGCAGACGGCACCCTATGCCCACCGGTACCGATTTACCTGAGAAGGGGCCATGAGCAGCACGGCATCGGTGAACAGTGTCCTCTCCAGAAAGTCATCCATAAGAGATCTCAGCTTCTCGGGGTCTGGAAACTGAGGACACCTCGTCTAGAAGGGGGAAGGGATTGGTGTGTAGAAAGCACCCACTGCCATAATGTGTGCGAACATTCTTTCAGTAAAAGAGCTCGCTTATGAAGTCACTAAAACGTAACAAAGAGCCATACTAATGGACATGCTATCCCAAGAGCTGGTAGTTCAACAAAGCAAGGATTGATAGTGCTACATAATGGCTAATAGGAATTTATGGTGGAAAGAGTTGACAACTAAAAGTACTTCTTATAATTAATGAGAGGTTAAAAATTGCAGGACGCTTAAGCTTCACCTTCAAGAGTGGAATGTGACAGCTTAATATAAACCCCCGCTTGTTCCCAAGCCGTGAGGCGTGTCTGCGTGACATAGTCGATTGTGTATCTGGCTCGAAACTGAAGGGTCATAGATTTGAATTCCACCTCCACCTAAAACTTTTTGGATTTTTTCTTTAAAGCAAATTAATTACTTTATAAAGTTAAATTATTTGAGACATGCAGCGACTTTTAATTTGCATTACATGTCATGTTTTAATCACTTTCCTTCAACGTGTGACGTGTGACAGTTTGAAAGTCCTGCGCGAGGTCATGTGCCTGTGACATCATAACCGTATCGACAAACCAGGATTTTACCGTCCGCCACTGACGCCGACTTTTTTGCGACACAAGCTCCTTAAAGCTATCACTTTAAAACACAAGCATTCTGGCTCTGACAAAGTTAAAAAATGTGTGCTGGAGGTTGGGCATCCGAAAAAAAGAGAACTCCCCGCCGTTCCCATCTCGTTAGCGACCATAGTAGAATGTGCGCTCATTTCATTGCTCGTAGTCAGTAGAAGAAAGCAAATAAAGCAGAAAGTCGGGATGTTTCGCCTCCCTTCTTTCCGGTGCAATTTCATGCTGCAAGAAGGGTACCTTGATGTCAATGAGCAGCCCTTCGAGGGGTCGGTACGGGTTGTGGATGGTCAAGTGGTACTCGAGCTGCTGCATGAGCAGAAGCTCGTTGTTGAGGATGATGTCAGTCGCCTTCTCCCGGTCCCCCCGGACATTGTTCACGAACTGGGCGATGGACACGTTAAACTCCTCCACCTTACACGCCAGGTAGACGCACGTCACCCTGCCGTTGGGGAAGGGGCAGGAAGAGGGAATGAAACCGTCGCGGCACAGTGTGGATGTACGGCGCGGCAACCTATGGCCGATTCACGCGCTCATGTTTGGATGCAACCGAGCACACCATGCAGCTCCCTGCACTCTTAAGACGTGAAATGTGCCGGCACCCTCCGTGAGGTGGCCCCAGAACTACGTTAAAGCAAAGGTTTTGCAGTATTTACCAGATCAAGCGCACATATGATTTACAAGGAATGGTCATTTATAACATTGTCAAGTTTTTCAAGCCCATGCCAAAAGAATAATATGTGCAAAAAAAAAAAAAAGAAGGAAATATACGGAAATCGCAAATGTTCGACGTCTAGCCGATAGACGGCGCAGTGTGTTCTCTCAATATAAGAGATCACAAAACCACAGAACACACTCGGTTGCAACCCAAGAGTGTGAACCAGCCCTTATACGGGCAAGTAGTTTTCTTGTTGCAATACTATCTCGTAGGAAGCCGAACAGCGGCCCGCCGATGTAGCACTTTCGCACGGTTCGACAAGTGCTACATCGCGAAACCATTGCTTGGCTGCTGCCAGGACAGCAATCCCATAAAAAAAGATGCAGTCCTCGTGTTTTGCGTAAGTTTGGTGAGCACCATACACTCATCTAACCATACGTACAGCATGTGCTTCGGATGGTAGTCCATGACGGAGTTGTTGAGGTAGAAGCGTTTGAAGTAATGGAACGACGTGCCCTGTGAGGGTTGGAAGAGAAAACCGTCAACATCAGACTTGTCTGCTCGACAAATATTGATTCCTGAAGACAACGCCAGGTTGCACGTAACGGAACACGAAACTCACAGTAACGCTGCGGGGAACAGGGGGCTGGAACTTTTTGCAGAAGTCCCTCAGAGCAAACTCGTAGTGCTTGTAGATGATGCGCTCTTCTTCCGGGGAGAGAAAATAGTCGTACCTGCTTTCCTGCAACGACGGTCGATAATTCAATCACTATTTCAACAATAATTGTCGTAATTTTTTTATCACTTATGAGACAGTGTCTAGTCAGGATCCTGGTGAACAGGGAGGTCATTCAGTTGTCCCGCCTGCAGCGCGAGCTTTCTACCTTCGATAAAGCTTCAGTCTCGTGAGTCTCGAGCGTGCACGCACAGCCACAAGGTGACGGACGAGCGTGCGATGGAGGTCGGACGTCTGAAGCATGGTGTGGTGTCAAACTTCAGCGTCAAAAATGAAAAAGCGTGCCGTTCGTATTCTGTGACGAGTCTCGTCTTACGTTTGTTGACCGTCGGTGCGTCAGTCTGTGGTTCGAGACGTCAAGGACCGAGGTCGGCTTACCCGTGATCGGCACTCGTCCAGGTGCCTCTCGATGAACCTCTCGTTCGCCTCTTGCCTTCGCCTGGAGATCTGCTGTTCATCTAGGAAGATCCAGCGCTTGCTTTGTGTGCTGTTGGAAAACATGACTGTGCCCGGTCCTAACGTCGCGTGTGCCGCGCGATCGCGGCGAAAAATGTGACTGCTCTACAACAGCGAATGCTCTTGTTGTTTCATTTGCGTGTTCTCACCGAATGAACCACAGCGTAAAGTGGACTGTAATTGACATGCTCATAACACATTTCATTCACCAATCGCTCTGCCGCTCGTGTACCCACATGCGACGTTTTTTTCTGTTTTTGCGTCCGTAGCCATTGTTGGCCATTGTTCTTTTATTATCTGATGATGGTGATAGCTGGTGATGCCGGCGAGTTCAAGGCGAGTTTGTGATTTTGCTTGTTCACGGAAGTCTGACCTGATTTCTACTAGTTAGAAAGCATGAACTTAATATAATTAGATACGAGCCGTTTACAGCTACATGACCGAGCAATTAAAGTCAGTTATGTGTTTAATGGGCGCTTACTTTGATTGATCGTTTCTGGCGGTTTTGTCCTTCTGTATTATGCAGAAACAAACACTGGGAGCGCATTTTTTTATATTTTTTTTGCGCAATAACCGCGCTTAGCGGTCGTCATAGGCTCCAAAACCGGCTCCTTTTGAATATTACAGCAGATATACAGAAAATACAGATCGGTGAGTTAGCGAATACTCGCCACAGCTAACACAGCGCCCACCACGCTGCTGTCATCCATAAATTGACGCAGACAACGACATTTGCGCCCGAGAACGCGTGAAACCGATCATGAGTTGCACGGACGAACCCGAACCGGCGAAGTCTAAGGAAGAAAGCCAATCAAACAGCGATCAGTTGCTGCTGCGGCTGGAGGAAAAGTTTAAATACAGGTATACGGACCAAGACCCCAGCTACATGAAAGTGGTCAACAAACCTCCGGTACCGCCGCCTTGTGTCTACCCTTGGTTCGTTCAAAACAGGAGGCCCTTTGGGCGACGGTAAGTCGTTGTTTGATCTCTGCTGTTGTGTCTGAACGCGTTTGCAGAAACTTGAAAAGCACCTAGCCAACACATTGGTGTTTGGATCTAACCATTGTCTAGACTCTAGATGGCACATTGGTGTTTGGATCTAACCATTGTCTAGACTCTAGATGGCACATTGGTGTTTGGATCTAACCATTGTCTAGACTCTAGATGATCATTCTTGTAGTGCCCTCAAAAGGTGGCCGAGTTGTTTCCTAGGAGAACATCGGTCCGTCTGGATTCTTAGGATGTAAAGGCAGGAAAGTGGAAGCGAGTCAATCGTGCGCCCGCTCGGGGCGAATGTGTCACTGACAAGGTCCGCCTGGCATGAATTGGATCTAGTTGGATTAAGGTTAATTTCCAGTTGGATTTAGATGCGACCAGTTCCATAATCCAGCTCCAGCTGGATTAAGTTTTGCTTGGAGTGCTCATTAGTTCGACAACTTGAATCATCTGCAGGGGAGGTCATCAGGGTGGCTATGATCGTGGCCGTGACAGGAGTGACTACCGGCAAGACAGCTGGAGCAGAGCTGGTGGCAGCAGCAGGAACTGGGAAGACCGGGATCGAAGCAGAGACTACCAGGACCGTGGCAGGGACTATCGGGACCGTAGTGGGGACTACCAGGACCGTGGTAGGGAGTACCAGGACCGTGGTAGAGGCTACGATAACCGAAGTAGTGGCGGTCACTATCGAAGCAGGGACGACGGGGATCGTGGTGGAGGGGGCTACGAAGACCGTGGCAGGGGACGTGGCAGGGGCTACCAGCAGAGGAGGGACTACTGAGCTAGAGGTCCTTTGCGGAGCAGACTCTACCTGGTACCTTTGGTTATGGGGGCTCTCTTTAGCTGTCCCCTAGCCTACCCGTGGGACGGCTGTGGTCTTTTACGAGCAGCCCTTTGGTGTAAGGGTCTGCGGGGGACTTTTGTATCTTGTTTCTTACAAGAGTGTAGTCCTGGGAATTCAACATGAGGGGCCGAAGTGACTGAGTGTTTAGACTGGTGCGTTGCTGCACTTCATCTATGTTTTCATGCTCTGTTCATCCTTTTTAAGTATAACATAGAGGGAACATGCACGAGGGATGAGGTCACGCTGCCACATTACAGTGCCGACATATGATTGATTCGGATCAAAGTAGGGCACCGTATTGAGGTTTCATACTTGATTTTGGTTGGCTTCCTTTTTAAAGGTGCCTATAATTTGCACCCATGCACATTGGGTGTGAAGCGTGCGGTGGAGATCGGCCCTGCAATATACTCCGTTTCATTTTATGATGGATCGCAGCAGGTGCTGCAAGCCATCAGAGCCAATCCAATGCCTTTCAAGTCAGATGACCTTCAGGAGGGGTGCAGCGATACACTGGGCGCATAGTCACGTGATACGTTCATGGTGTTTGACTGGCCGGTTTAGCTCATAATGTCTGCTGGGGTTCATTGTGAGATTAAACGGGGTGTAAATATATTCAAGCTGAAGAAGTATATGATGCTACATTTAACTGAACAGTTCAGTTGCATGTGAGGAATGTATGAAGAGAAAACGACGCCACTGGAGATGTAATCTCTGATATTTCATAAAAGGTTCTTCGTTTTAGTTGTTTGGAGCTGGCGTGTTTGTTTTCTCAGTTCTCATAGTCATTGCTAGGTTCGGTTTTGACTTTCTTGTAAGGACCAGTCAGTGCACCATGTGAAACAAGGATGCCTTGTTTTTCAGCAGAGTTCACCCAACTCTGGTCGGACCTGTGAGGTTATGCATTATCTCGCTTGTTGCGCACGGTGCCGTGGAGGACAAGGGTCGGAGAGAGAGAAAAGCTGCTTTTGTATGTATTTTGAATGACTGGCTTTGAGGGGGAGGAAAGTGATGATGGGGTACACAAAAGAGTGTCCGGGTTAGAGGGGAGTTCCCCCTTCCCTTCCAACTGTTAACTCTGATCCCTGCACCTTGGTAGCACTGCACACAACTAGTGAGGTATGCCGAGCTTCCCTCTGACTGCATTCGACACGATATTTGCATAAATGGCATACGACCCACACTTATTTTACGGGCAATAAATGTGTTTGTGGTGCACATTTTATGTGCGCTTGTTTCACCATGTTTTTATTCTCCATGAACCAAATCTTGTTCCTGTGTCCACCATCCGTCGGGAAAGGTTTCACCTTGCATCATCCAAACTTCTGTGCGTGAAACACGCCACTAGCCAGCATTTCGTCAATATACTTGTTTTCAACTCAAGGAAAAAAAGTTTAGCACATTGATACATTGCACTAAGTAGTTCTTGCAAGATTTGGTTGTCAGTGGAAGAAGCAATGCTTTTGGCATTTGAAATGTGTACGTCTTGATAAGACAATATGTATCTAATGTGAAATGCATGTATGTATATCTTAATTCTCCACATGAAAAAGGAAATTAGTGGTGCTCCTCGAGAAGTCTAACCTTTTTTCACTTCTGGTGAAAACAAGTATAGACGCTATCACAATGAATCCTTGTCAGAGAGGGGTTTATAGTCGTACCATCACAAAGCCTTTGAGAGCTGTGGAGTATGTGTGAATTTTTTGTATACAACGTGCAATACCCTCTACCAGCACCAAAAGGCATTCTGGGAACCGACTGTATAGATCCACGCACTCTTCCATTGTGCTGCATCGCCTGCACGCGATTACCGTTGCTGCCAGCCGGAACGTCGGCTGCCCAAGCTTGTGTGGCCTGTGGTTCTCGCGTCGTCTCTCTTCAGTGCAGAGGCATAGGAAGAGGGGCATGACCCTTCCCCAAGATATTATAAAAGATTAGTTGGAAACAATACAGGAAAGGGAGCAGAAAATTGCTCTCGCCCCGCACCCACCCCCATATCCCGAACAGCTTCGACGCCTCTGCTTCGGTGCTTGTATTGACACCCCAACCGATATAATCTGTTGTCGAGACAAGCTGCCCGTCTGAGGCCACGTCCGGAGGAGTATTGCGGTAGCAGTAGCGGATGACGGAGGCAACGTAGGAAAGCGTGCGAGGTCAGGCAAGCAACTGTGCTACCCTCTTGCTCTCTGCAGTGTCTCATGGTAGGTACTGCAAGAGCAGACGGGACGGTTGCGCTGGTTGTTGCTCACCTCGCACACTGCCTTATGGAATTCTTGTACTAGATGATCTGTGTCGAAGAGCAATCACACGCATGTTGCCTCAGTTTTTCTTGTGAAATTGAAAGTGCCTTGATTCTAGCAAAGCTGAGCTTTTATCGCTACCAATGGTAAGGTTGTGTCGCAAGTTTCTGAAACTATCCGCTGGTGGGATTTAATTTAGAAAATGGTAGTCTTTCGGGTCATCTGGTCTTTATGATAGATGGTGTGATTTTGTGGTCCGATGACAACATATATATCCCCAGATATCCACAGACATTAAATTCGTACCTGTGGCAATATTTTTTTCTGGCTAAATGCTTTACAATATATGGTGAAAATGGTGTACTTGCTAAATGTTAACGTCTTTTTAGAGTAAATTTATCGTAGCCAACTCTTTTATTCTATTTGATGCCATAATCTGACTACCATAAAATATTGTGCATCCGCCCGTTCCACACTAAATGCTGACCACTAAAGTTTGAAACATCTGAAGAAATATGCACAGTACATATATATGTAAAATTGATGACTTCACATGTGCCGTCCCCTATTTTTTCACGGTTGACTTCAAATTTTCAGTGGGCGCATGCTCAATATTTTACGGTGAGTTATAAAAAAAAAATTATTTTGAGGCATGGAATTGTTTTCTTATTTTGTTTCACCTCTGTGCCACGGCAAAAGCTTCCTGCACTGAAAAAAATGGAAAAACCTGGTAGGAAAGAAACACAAGATATACTTCCAGACCATGCAGGTATGAAACTTCATTGCATTGTGCCAGTGGGACTAGTATGTTATGGCTAGGGCTCCGTGTTTTCGGAGTTTATTTTTCGTGAAATTCGGAGGGTGTTTTTCGGAGTTTATTTTTTAGCAAAAAGTCGGTGTTTATCGAAGTTTATTTTTCGTAAATCCACGATTCTCCGAAATTCGGAGATTATTTTCGCAGTGTTTCCTATTAAAAAATAATAAATAATAACCGGATGCAAACGTATGCCAGATAAAGAATAAAACATGCTTGTTTCAATTAAGATTTCTTCAGTTGAATTCGGCGTTGGTGTCATTGGCAATACTAACTTGTCCCACGACAAAAGTCGTACACAAGTGTAGCTTCAATAAACGTGGATACCTTAAAATCAATAAACCGCCGGAGGTAGCCGCAAGGAAGCTTGTAGTCATCCCTTCAATCTATCCCGCAGCCTCGCGAGGTGGAGTGGTTAAGGATGTAATAGAGAAGTTTCAACTGCCCCTCTTCCCTATTTTATACAATCTCTATGGTCCATAGCTTTCACTGTTACGCCCAGAAACATACCCTCTCCTTTCTCTTAATCCCAAACGCCATGGCCCAAACTGGAAACCAAAAGAGTGGCTTTTGTCAAAACACGAATGGTACGATAACCTGTTTCCTTTTATTTATTCACTTTCCCACAGCGCCAGGGTGGCATTACAGTGGGGGGGGGGGGGGGGGAGAGAGAGAGAGAGAGAGAGAGAGAGAGGGGGAGGGGAATTTTCATCAATGTGATACATTTAAGCAATACAAAGGAGCATAACAGAACGCGCACATGCATACCCAGTATACAGGAAACAAAAAAGAAAACACATCTCGCAATGCAGCAAAGAAAGCGTCATTGTCCAAAATGTCAACAACCTCCGAAGGCAATTGATTCCATTCGCTAATAGATTTGGGGAAAAAAGAAGATTTAAACTGGTTTGTGTTACATTTATATTCACATACCTTTCGTTCGTGATCGGCACGATGAGAGATATAATGCGGGGGGAAAATGTAGTTTTCGCGCGTATACCAATTCTGCAGTGATAAATGCTATGAAATAATTTAAGCCGTAGATCTTCCTTCTTTTTTCAAGAGATTCCCAGCCTAAGAATTCTTTCAGACTTGTCATGCTGGGTCGCCTGTTATAGTTCCCGGGAACATATCTAGCCGCTAAGTTTTGACCTCTTTCAAGTTTATTTCTATCAACAGCAGTTGGTAGGTCCCACACTGTACATGCGTGCTCGAGAACAGACCTGATATAACCCTGAACCAGTCTTGACGAGACAAGCCGTAAGACTCCCTTTTGACAACGATCCGAGACTTGGAAGATAATTATGGTGTTATTTTCCCAGGACCATTCTTCCTGCACTGCTCAAATTGTAAAAAAAAAAGAAAAAGAAAAAAAAGAAAAAAATTTTGTTGTGGGGCACATAACAATTCGGAGTTTATCGGATAAATCCCAATTGCCAAAGATTTTACCGGCGGGTGTTTTTCGGATTTATCCAAAAACACGGAGCCCTAGTTATGGCTTTATTCATAATAATTTATAATTTTGAGAGTATAAGAGACAGGTGTCTTTTACTGTCATTTGGCATCCAATATTTGACATGCTGAGATGCCTCGAGAGGCCTTGCAGTCATTGCATCATACCCAGATTCCCATTTTATCGGCTCTCTGACACTTTATCAACATCTGTCCACAAAATTAACCCCTTTGGTTTCACTTCAGAAACACAAATATGGCCATTTCCTGGGGCTGTAGTGACAGCCGTAACTAGTAGGGGCTGGAGACTCCAAGATACGTAGTAAAACAACTACTGATAGGCACTGACATGTTTCCACTGATATGGCAGCAAATCCCCAAACTTGCAGTTTCAGGTTTAGCTGCTGTGTGGCTTGCTGCAGCCATATGACACAGTGTGGGCCAGTTTTTACAGTTTACTCATGTCAATGAACTTCGAGGCTACAGCCATATCTCTTTATCAAAGCATTTCTGATTAGTAAATGGCTTCATATTTTGCACTGCAAGGATGCAGTAAATCGTAAATATAAAAATAAACAAACTTAGGGCAATGCCACTGACCATATACTTTTAGCCAATTTTATTTTCCTATTTCTCCCTCGGCCAGAACCAGTCGTATGAACTGCTATCTGGTCATGGAATATGTGTGAACAAATACAGATTCCAGACTGTTACTACAATGACGATCATGCATATTCATAAAAGCGTTGGCCTTGGTTTTCGGCAAGTATCTGGAAATAGCAGGGTGGAAAACAAAAATCAATATGATTTAAATTGCAGTGGTTTCACTATGATAATTTAAATCGAGCCTTTCCAGCAAAAATAATCGCAAAAATATTATTTTATTTAATGTCAGACTATCATATTATGATAGACTGCCATTAAGAAGAGGAGGTGAGTCCACTCACCTCCTCTTGCGGTCAGCAGTTCCTGGGTCACTCGAATTCCATATAGAGATGATTAATCCAGATGGTCATTGAAGGGTTTATAATTAACAGTCGCACTGAGTGAACAGTCGTATCGCACGTCGCATGGACAACCCATTTGATTTTAAAAATTGCACTCCTTTTTTATATATAAATAAAAGTTACTGAAAATAAATTTTTATAATTTCAAAAACTTTAGGAAAATATCAGATTGATGGTTCATTCATTTAATTGTCGATGTGACAGACCCCGCTGGGGTCCAGACAGGTGTGGACATAGTAGCAGGGGAACGAACATAGTTTAAAAAAATATCAGCTTCAATAAATGAATTCCAACAATAAACAACGAAAGTAAATCGCGGCATCGTGTGTTAGCAGGGGTTGGAGGCAACATCGCATCGTGTGTCCAGAGAGGCGACTTGAAGATTTCCCTTAGGAAATTCATTCACTTTTGATAGCTGACATTTCCACTGCTTTGTATTTTGGCTATTAATAATACAGCGCATTTCAATTCAATCCACTATATTGAAGAAATTGGAAAATTTGCACGCTGCGCCACAAAATATCACCTTGCACTAAACGAAAGCGAAACCGCACTAACCGTTTTTTTTTTTTTGGGGGGGGGGGGGGGGGGGTGAGGGTAGCGTGAACCAACGTAGAAGCTTTAACTTAAGTTAAACTAGCAACGAGTAAGTAACAAAACGGAACATATTTTAAACTCACCTTTTATTATATGAAAAACAAAATATACAATAAAAATAATAATGAAAAAATTGAACACTAGCGCCATTTTCTAAATGTCACGCTGTCGCGTTGGTCATTGATTTTTGTTGGAGCACGCCTACGCAAGCTAGCAGATTTTTTCGGTTTGCTGCTCTTGCCAGTTACGTGTTTCTAGTCAGCTGAACTTTTTGCCTTTCCTTGTGTACATAAACTGCCGCAAACATGTGTGGGGGGTTTACGTGCTCCAAGAATGCTCTCACAGCGCTCAACATCATGTATATTGTGAGTAGAGAGCCGAAGAGTCCGAATTTTGTTTCTCGTCACGCATGTTGGCCAGTCTGCGGGCGAGCGTAGGTGCGGCACCGCGGGTCGGCGGACCCCGCAGATGTGCTGGCCCCGCACGATTCGTCGCTCGCGATCGGAAATATCGACTGCGTAAACAGTGCCGACAGAACGCCTTGTCGCGATCTGCTGGCTCGTCTCAACGTAAACGCTCTCTTTAATCTCCCCAAAGATCGGACGTTTCCGTCCCGGCCTCTTCTGCCTGCTTGTATCCGAAGTATCGCGCGTTCAAAAACTGCAGCATTTGCGATATACTAGCGTCTGTTACTTTCTCCACTTTTTGAATCTTTAGTTGGCCACGGACATATATGCTTTTTGCGGCGTGGGCTGAGGCTCAATGAACCGCCCAATCTGTTTAAGCGTTATGTGGCGCGAGCAGCTTGCATCGCATTGCTTGCGCGGATTCGTTTGCCTAATTGCCGAAATCGTCGGTTCTGAACACTGGCGGTGTGACGTCAGGTAAAAGTCATGCAGTAAAACAGCTGTTTGCGATTTGACGTTGTGGCGCGCCGCGGAAGCGCGCTTCATCGCTCTGTCGTGCGTTTCTTTCCAGATCGTGTCGTTCATTCTTATCGGAGTTGCGGCGTACGGCCGCGTGTCGAGCATCGTCACCAACATCACCATCTTCGGGGCAGTGATCGCCTGCGGAGTGTTCCTGTTGCTCCTATCGCTCGTCGGCCTCATCGGGGCCGTGAAGCACCACCAAGTGCTCCTCTTCTTCGTATCCTTTCTGGGCAACGGGAATCCAGCTCTGAGGCCGCAAATAAACTCAATTGATCAATCATTTTTATTTTTTTTTATTTATGTTTACAGGTTTTACGTACTGCCGCGGACAATATGAGCTGAAACAGCACTCCATGCATCTTTGGCTTAACCGTCAGTTCTTAAGGAAGCTTTGGTTCGAACGTGCTTTAGAACGCAAAACAGGGCCTCGGTCTTTTAACTCTGACAATTTCGGAAATAATAAGAGCTCAACAAGGCGGTAAGTTGGGCGAGTTGGTTGAACATCTTCAAACGTGAAAACGGCGCAAAAATTTGACAAAGGACAAGTGAAAGAAGTGCACGGACACAGCGCTTTGTCCGTGCACTTCTTTCACTCGTCCTTTGTCAAATTTTTGCGCCGTTTTCACGTTTAAATAATAAGAGCTTGTGGGGAACTGTAGCCATAGCAACAGTCCAGATCGGGAGTTTCGGCTCATATTGCCCAGGGGTGTACATAGAAATATAAGTCGCAACGTAAGTCTATGCTGTTTGTGCATAAGGTCGAAAGGAGCTTTGTCAGATTTAGGCTGTTGAGAAATTTACTGACATCATATCGCAGGTAATTTGGGGGAGCTACTGATGCTGACAATTGACTTAGTCCAGTTCATCCCCGTGTTTAATGTGGCACCTCTTTTGATGTGGTGTTGTGCATGAAAAGATTGACTCTGAGATACACACTTTTACGGCCACTATCATCCTCACTCCCTCTGTCAAAATCGAGGACTTGTTGCAATAAACGACCTCCCGTTTGTTTTGATTTAGTTTTTCAGATAGGAAGACTGAAATTCTGCATCACCTACACAAGTCACCCCTTTGTGCTGGGCACGGTGTATGTTCCGGGAGATGACGACATAAAAGATGAATGAGATGTAACACAGAAGGGAGATCGGTTCATTCTTCCAACACACAACTAAGGCTAGTGTGTGCCACAGTGTTGGGAACTAATATGTGTAAACAGGACTTTGACCACCTCATTGCAAGTTTTGTTTGCCACGGAATACCCCCCAAGGCGGCGCTTTGGAATACTCGCTAAATGTGAAGACGTTCGCATAGCTTACGAGCTGGAACGTATTGGTGTCGCTATTCCCTGCCACGTCCTCGAAATTGGAGGGGAGCACCGTACAACGAGACGCGACGCAACATCGTCGGCCGGCGAGCTTCGTCCTTGACCGCCCCCCAGTACATGGTGATCCTGTTCCTGCTGTTTGTGGTCCAGTTCAGCGTGGCCTGTGCCTGCCTGGCCATGACGGAGGACCAGGAGCGGGAGCTGGCTCGCCAGGGCTGGGAGAAGGCCCCCGCCTCGGCCAAGGGTCAGGCGGAGCGCCTTTTCCGCTGCTGCGGCTTCGAGGACAACGTTACCGACCCCGAGCCCTGCCAGGGGGTCCCCACCTGCTGCGACCCGTCGCAAGAGGTACGCCCCTCCGTCAAAGTGGCCGGCTGCACGGGAGTCCCGGGGCGCATCTCCGACCAATGTCTTTATTGCGTCCAAAAAAAATTGTCCCCCGACTTCCACCCAACTGCATCGTGGAAGTGTCACGCTGTCGTCGGCTGTTCTGCCGCAGGTCACTCTCTGGCTGGATGGTTCACAGAAGCTTCGGCAACCAGGAGTCGAGATGCCGCGACGGCAGTGATGCTCGCATTCTCGCGCTTTTTTCTAAAACTTTTACTCGCGACCGCCGGGATCGCGACTCCGACAGCGCGACACTGCAGCTTTTGCGACGTTGTTTGTTGCCACCTCGGGACCACTTTTGATGCACGGGCGGAATGGGGCGCTTTTGATGCACAGGCAGGGTGCCCAAAGATGCACTTTGGGCACCCTGCCTGGCCGACAGAGCCTGCGGCGTCATCCGGGACATATTTATTAAATATTTTGAGATACCATTAACCCCTTTTAGAGTCATTATGGGAGAGAGTAAAAAATATACGGTGATAAAAGGCGGTAGGAAATGAGAAAGGTCGCGTACGTGGATCGTAATTTGCATCCTCCGATACAAAAGCAAACGCATAAATGAAGCAAAAACACACGCTCATAGTATTACAATGTCTGTGGATCATTATTAGAAAATGCGCGCGTACCATTTCGATGGTAACACATAAAAACAAGTTTTACGAGCGCTTCAAATTATTTCAAAACTCTGCGGGGGAATGTGAGTTCACAATTTTCTGCGGAAGAAGGTTTCATTTCTCTCTTGTTTTTGAAAGAAAGAGAACAGTGAAATACATTGATTCTACTTTGAAATGGCTGGATCATTTTAGAATGGCTATTTCTTAAAATGCGAGTTACATGGGGTTTAAAAAAACTGGGTGTATTGACTACTCCCTGTTTCTTAAAGTTAAGAAGTCCACATTGTGTCATGGAGATGTACTTGAGTCTAGCATTCCTGTGCTGTTCGGAAAGAGGTGAAAGGTCTATACTCCATTTCACCTTAGGCGTGTCCGCAGTGCACGCCACGAGTCATTGGAGCCAATTCAATGCCCTCTGACTGTCATGTAACCCTCTGGAGGGTCATGTGACAATGTGCGGGGCATGTAGTCGCGCGGTATGTTTTCAGCGCTGGATTGGCTGGGATTGATCGTAGGGCCTGCCACAGCACAGTTCGTCGTGAGGTAAAATGGAGTATAGTTTTAACGTGCCAATAACAGTCTGTTTGTTTGTATCTGGAGAGTATATACCAGGTGGCAAGTCTGTGTTCATTCTCCGATTTCTAAATGTGATTTTTCTGATGGGGGTTCCATATTACATTTGCATACTCTAATACTGGTCGTATGACTGTTTTGTACACCATCACCCTGGCACTCATAGTTGCCTCCCTAAAATTTCTTTTCCGATATTCTAAAGTACACTTAGCAGAACGGTAGTTATTGTTGACATGACTCCCCCACTTTAAATGATTTTAAATTGTTACGTACACCCAGGTATTTGTAGCTATTCACTCATTTTAAAGGAGTCCCATTAACTGTATATGCATAAGGTAGAATATTGTTCTTTTTTGTTATCCTTAGAAGTACAGTTTTGTCAATATTAATTGCCATCCCCCATTTTTGGCACCATGACCAAATTTTCTGTAGTGCACTATCTACTTTAGCGTGATCCTCCATAGTTTATATATCTGTGTAAATGATGCAGTCATTTACAAATAATTGTGTTGCGACAGAATCATCAATGGCTTGTGCTATATCATTTATGTACCTTAATATCCCGAGTCATCGCCCATCCCCGAGCCATCGCCCACCCCATTTTTTGGGCCAATATCGATTTCCGAAAAAACACCGAGTCATCGCCCACCACTCTGCGATCCGCGAACACTCATCCTACCCGAATGACGCGGCCGCGGACCTTACAGTTGGAGGACGTCCGTGACAAAGTAAAACGAAGGAGGGAAAGACACTTCTTTTTGTTTACGCATTTCCTCCGTGAGCGACCCCAAAGTGGTCGTGTATCCGTGCGAAAAGAAAACGACGGAGATAACAAAATAAGAGTTTGTTAACGTAACCGCGGAGTGTTAGGTCAAAGTCTGTCTCCGCCGAAGTAAGGTCACCGCGAACCCGCTCCTTCTTCCCGCCCGTCGCGACCGCGGTTGTGCAATATTTTAGGCAAAGCCAAAGCGTAAATAAAGCTTTGCTGGAACGTCCTACACAGACGTTTGAAGAGCGTCCCAACCGTGCATTGATAGCCCGCCGTGCACGGACGCACGTATGTACGCACCAAACAAGAAAGTTGCGCAAGAGCTTGCAATTGACAAGGCGCCCGACTTGGCCCGACGCCAAAGTATTTGCCAACGCGACCGGCGGCTTTCCCGCTTTCCCAGCTTGCTCTTGGTCGCTTCTTTGATCCACTCGCTCGCTCGCTCGCTCGTTGCGCCTGGTCGGTTTTTCTATTTTCTTGTAGACTTTTCTTTCTTTTTTTTTTTTTTTTTTTACTAACTAGGAGAACATAATGGTGACATTCTTTCACGGAACAAACGTTCGTGCTATATGCAGATCGGCGGTGTTTCTAGCGCGTATGCAAGCAACGGACTTCGCTATAGTAAAATATTCTTTCGTGAGCATTTTTTTTCTATAAAACAATGAAACTAAATCGAGTTCTGAGTTTGATGTATCTCTTGTGCATCGGCGCTAGATACGCAGAGAAAAATAGGCGGTTTTTTCCGCTTTTTTTCCAAGTGTTTGTGCTCACCCACCGAGACATGGCCCACCCCACTTTTTTAACGAATTTCAGGCGGTTGGGGGGTGGGCGATGACTCGGGATATTACGGTATATCAAAAATAAAACCGAAGCCAAAACGGAGCCCTGTGGGACCCCCGATGATACTGGTAGAACTCTAGATATTGCGTTGTTTATTTCACCAAACTTTCTTCTTTTCTTTAGGTATACACTTATCCAGTTAACCGATTTCGAGCTGACTCCAATTAGTTTAAGTTTATTTATTAGATATCTATGTCATACACAATCAAAAGCTTTTGACATATCTAGAAATATTGCATCTGTTTGTCCCCCAGCATTAATAGATTTTCTAAAGATTTGAATTCATTCACTTAATTGAGTAACCGTTGAAAATTTTCATCTAAAGCCGTGGTGGTTCTTGTAGAGAAGGTTATCATTTTCTAAAAAGGCGTAAAATGATTTTGAGACTACGTGTTCCATTATTTTACAGCAGGTGCTCGTCAATGATATTGACCTGTAACTGGCCCACTCAGCGTACCGCTATAAGAACAGCTACTCCCCGAGCCAATGAATATAACTGTCAGTTTATAACATCGCTGTTTGTTTCATGGCTATTTTGCAATGTCTTCGCTGTTGCAAGTAGTGTTCTTTAATTACCCAGATGGAAAGTGCACATAAAATCAATTGGCACTTTCCTCCAACAAATTATTATGTAACTAGGGTTCTGTGTTTTTGTATAAATTTGATAAACTCTGAAGAAGCCTCTCCGATAAAGTTTTTTACAATTCGGATTTATGTATCCGAAAAACTTGGAATTTCGAGGTCCCAATGCCAAAATAAAAAGAAAAAAGAAGATATTTTACTAATATAGTTTGTCGGAGCACAGGGCTAGTGGTCCTGAGAAAAGGACAATTCAGTTTTTTCTATCTTGGACTATTGAAAAGATGGAGTCTCCCGTTTATCTCGTCAAAGTTCATCCAGTACAATGGGCCAGTGTACTTTTGGACCACGACAAGAAACACCATTCTGGTTTCCAGCTTGAACCATATTATTTGTGCTTCTTAGAGGGAGAGGTTGTGTTTTAATGAAAGTGAAAGATGTGAACCTGTAGATACCATGGGAGGGGAAGGGCAGCTGAACGTTTCAAAGGTACACTGACAGGATATTTATGCTCACCGAGGTTTCTATTTGAACATGACCTATAAGAGCCCAACTACCCACAACAGAATTTGCAGCTTGAAATTCCTTTTCTTTCCGCCCATAAACAGCCGGTCGAGAATTGACCGGTTTCAGTAGCGCTCACTCTTTTTTCCATGGTCACGTGGCCTTCGAGCGATGCATACCAAATGTACTCAAAGTCCGGGGTCATCTAAGGCACACATTCCATATTAAGAATGGAAAAGAATATAAACTCGATTTTTGTGGCCTCCAAAAAACTGCAAATATGTTAATCGAAAGAAAAAAAAAAAAGAAAAAAAAGTTGCACTGATTACAGGGAGTACATGTACACGTCATGCTCAATGTGGCGACGTACCACAGGCTGGACGGTGTGATGGCGGCGCACGATGGACCAACAGCGCGATGGATGTTCGGTCGCTACTTCGGAACTGCCGTTCGTTGAATGGGCCAATCCATCTTCAAGTAAAGGACATCGAGCAAAAGGGATATGAGTGCGAAGCAATCGCACATCAAACAGTGCATGCAACTTCATCGCCTGCTTCACATGCCGGAGAGGCGGAATAAAAAAAGAAACGCGGTGGGGGGTAGCCAGGTGACATCCGGCCATGAGCTTCTGTACTTGCGTTTCAGTTTCGAGCTGTTGAGTTTTTTGGCTTTATTAAAAATGTATGTGACTCTGCAGCAAAATATTTCTTGGGTAGTCTCCTGGCACCCTATTAAATCACCTGGCAAAAAATAAGAAGAAAGCTTTTTTGGGGGGGTGTCGGTGTCCCTTTAAGCGTCCAGGAGTTCAACTATTTCGGTGTATGTACCGATGTTTATTGAAGTAACACTGTTTTCAAGATTTGTCGTGGCACAGTTCGTACTGTCAGTCGCAAGGGCACCAATGCCAAATGCAGCTGCAGAAATTCGGTAACGGTGATTTTTTCATGACTAGCATATGTCTTTGTCCAGACATTTTTTTTTTATTCATTTAGAAAACAAAGACAGTAAAATTAAACTGAGAATTTTTGAGAATTGCGAATCTAACAAAAAATAAACTCTTATAGACCCCAAATTTCCAGCAAAAAATAAACTCCGATGTACACCCTCCGAATTTCACAAAGAATGCTTCCTAATCTCTAAGATTGTCCTATGTTGTTGTCACTTGTTGATCTGGTCAAGTTCCCAAATTTCCTCGACCGTCCCTGCCCCCGAGTAAATTGTTGTTACATTTTTACATGTTAAGCGCTATTTTTTGGATCTGGGCCACCCACTGATGCATAACTATGTGCCAAACCCTTCCTAGTAAATGTGCACTATCGTTTGCAAGGCCTGTAGGCCCCTTCGCTGCTTTATTGCATTATTATTACGTTACATTAAGGGGTGACACCACCTTCAACTGTCAACCTTTAAACCAGTCGCTCAATATTAATGAAATTGAAAGGCTTTATTCATCTCGTTGCCTAAATGCACCGTATGATGTTTCATCTCCGTACAACAATTCTCCGATAAGCTACGGGGAGGTTTGCTGCAAAATATTGAGAATTTCTAAGCTTCAGGCGTAACTACCTAGAGCCTCTGGGGGCTGCAGCTATCTATTTTTTACCCTGAAATCTGCACTTTTTTAATGCAAATTACAATTCGAAAAGCACTCCACATAATGGGGCTTTTCGTGCTCATCAAAACCCTACTTTTTATCAATAAAAACTTTATTTAAATAGAAAAATAAATATCTAGCCGTATTCCTCATTAAATTTCAGTTCAAGAACATCCACAGCAAAGAATAAATTACGCAATTCATTGAAATGCCTAAAACCAAGTTGTTGCAAAAAAGTGAAATGCATAAAAATTTTCTTTGAAGTTCCCACACAACAACATTTGATTTTACGGGTGGTGGTGGCAACTAAAAGTCATTATGAGCATAGGTGGTGCCTTCTGCTTACACCCAATCTCCTGCGTGGCTTTGCTGAGTGAGTCCGAGCTTAAAACACTTCCTTCAAGTGTCATTTTGTTGTCGACATGTGGACATTGATTATGAAACAAGTGAGGCTTGCAATACACAAACAAATGTCAGCAATTATAGGCAGGGTAAACATCACTAAATACAAAGCTGACAAACCCATAGGACTTTCTATAAACAAATGTTGGTTTTAGTTAATTCTCTGTTCAGTCAGGGCGGGCTTTTTGATTCTTAGCCTTGTGCATAGCCTCTTCCACGGGAAAGCTGAACTTCTATAGTGTCCTTGCCCTAATAGTATTTACTCTTGAACAATTATGTTTAATGTACTGAAACTGTAAAAGAAATGCTTTTTTCAATGAGAGTATGATCATCGTTCTAGGGTGTATCGGTGCAGAGCTACAGCTGTTGGAATGTAGGAAACAGAAGTTTCACGTTTTCAAAACATGGTTTTGCATCGTCGGCTTACTGAAAGGGGTTCATTCCTCCGTAAATATTTCAGATATTGAAATAAAAATTCGTGGGAGTGTGCACTACTATTAGTTGTTGAACCTCAATAGATAAAAATGAAAGAAAGTCATTTTTTGCTTATAAATTGTAAATTTGTTTTTAATGTATGTTGTTTTAAACAGTCTGGTTGGGACACGCGTGTCAAAAATAAATTTTACGCAAAAAGAAAAAAAAAAGTTTTAGAGCAATATTGACAGCGCGAGACGCGATTTAGGCAACAGTCACTTCCTTTCTACTTGCTTTCTCTCGGCGTTTCGGGTGCGCGGAGGAGAGGTGGGGTGGCTTCGCATTCACAACAGAGATTCTCATTCCGGAATGACCGGTGACATCATGGACTTCGCGCAGAATTTCAAATAGATCTCTCGCCGTCAATATTGATCCAAACATTTTTTTTTTTTTTTTCGCATAAAATTAATTTTTTTTTATGTGTGTCCTGCGTTTTTTACAGTCCGCGTGTCCAGGACTGCGGGAAAAACTCCTTTTTCTTTTCAGAGACCATTTAACGTGGTGTCCCCCCTGAAGGTTTCTATCAATCAAGCAAAATTGAAGTTCCCCGAGAGCGAAAAGTTTCAAAACCCCTGATGCACGACGAGAATAAATCTTAGCGAGTTCAGTATTTATTTAGTTCTGGGAGAATTAAAAACACAGTGAACAGGAGGCTCCCTACTGTTAGGTGACATGAGCTGTAAATGGTTGAGCACTACTAATCTCCATCTAGTAGCCAGTAAAAACTCGTATACTGTACTTATGCAAGCCTATTATGCATCTTCTGTTTAAGAAAAATGAACTTTAAAACTGCCTGCACGTTACAATCAGATACGAAGTGCCCTTAGAATCATTATTATTGGGTATAAAAACTGGGTGCGCATTAGAATTGGGGTGCATTAGAGTCGGGTCAGTGTGATAGTAAGAAGTGAGGATTATGGGCTCTTTCTTTTGCACATACACATTCTGCAGCGTCGTGAGCCCTTTGACGGTCGTCGCCATGCACGTACAGCAGTGGTTACAGAATTGAAAGTGCCCGCCTAATGCGAAATAGCGTGCACTGCGAGAGGTGTTGCCATTTGTTATGTCTCTGATGAACTATAAACGTCATATTCGTGTGGTGTTTTGCTTTGCTGGGGTTGTTCATAGTGTTGAAACTAGATGCTTTGCGCATGGGCGATATGGTCGCTTTGCATCTCGGCTATTCTGGCAGTAGCAGCAATTGGAGTGCCGGCTCTTCCGACTCAAGCTTTTAATGCTTCTCATATTTTAATTTAAAGCATGAGAGTTTTTCATCAGATAGAAAAGATCTGTAAATTGCCTCCAATTCGAAATCTGTATCTGCCAGAATGTTGCGGAAGCGGACGCGTCAAGATGAAACCGGTTGGAAGGAAGGTGACAACTTTTCGCCTTCAATATTTTCATTTGATGCTTCTAAACCTGAACAGCTCGCATGCACTGCATGTGTTCCCACAAGAAAATTAAGAGCAAACCTGCGCATTGACCTTTTCTTTATACCATTCTTTTGAAAACGAATCCCCATCACTGGGAAACATTTTATGGGGAAAAAAAATCTTGACCGTTAAGGTCGCCTTGGTGGCTCTGAGGCAAAGCATCGGCCTGTGGGTCCTCAGTTGGCTAATTCGAATACCAGTCGTGAAGTCGAGATTTCGGTTGGCACATCAGAAGACTCACTGCTGGTCGAAATTATTTCTTGTTCCTTCGCTGTGGCGTGCCAGATGCCCTTCGTTGGTTTGGCACTTAAAACCCTAAAATTTCACTTTTGACTTTGTCATTAGGAGGTGTCTTTTTTTGTGTTTTAACTTGCACTCGGTTGTCGCCTCCCTGGTTTTTAACTTTCCTGCCCTGCTTGATTTTCAGCTGTCGACCGGGGCATTGGACGAGTGCAAGTGTAGAGGCTGCTGGTCTGCTTTGCACCAGGCAATCCGCAACGGGCTCAAGATCACAGGGGGCATCGGCATGTTCTTCAGTTTTACAGAGGTGGGCTCAGCCTCCCTTCCTGTATCCATCTAGAAAGTAATACTGTCGTGCATGTGCTGGGACTGTGGGAAGTTGGTTGGTCCCAATGGATGTCTGCCGTCTCCGCTGCAGACGAGAAATTTAGCTGGCGCAGTACCACCGCTAGCCCGGAGTCTTTCACGTGCATCGCAAAGTAGTGATACACGACTATCTTGCGAGGCTGCCCGTCTCTCATCCCTCTCCTTTGTACCGGTTTTGTCATTCTTCTGCACCAACGCATTGTCGAACCTAGTCTTACCCTGCCACGTTTGGGGCGCAAAATAAGTGGATTCGGTGATGACGTGAAGGTAAGTTACGACGAATAACGTATTCGAAGGAGTGAATAGCTTCACCTTTCAAGATGCGTTTACGCTGCCACCGTGCTGCCAATGACGTAGTACGGGGTTCCGGTGGATGGGCGGGATGGCGGATGGCTGCAACGGCTGCTGTCAGTTGCTGGTGCTACTCGAGCGCGGTCGCGGAGGTGCAACGAGAAAGCGCGTGATCCGTACCGAGGGTTCCCAAAATCCCCTGCCGATGTGGCGCCGTATGTTTTGCAGCAGGTCTATTGCGCAATCTGCGGTACCGGTACGTGAGAAAAGCGAGTTCGTAGAAAGTTCCTGCGTTATTGTCCGCGATCTGAGTGCGCAATATCGGTTCCCATGATAGGCAAATTCGTAGCGGATTCCCGCAGGTTTATTGTATCATGAAACTAGAATCTGGTGCGTCCGCGATCTGTGGTATTAGTTCCCGTGTCATGTGGTTTGTAGCAGGTGCCCAGGTGTTTATCGCTATTTTTTTTTATAAAGTTTTGCTGTTGCATTGTTAAAGATAGCCCGCCCCATGTTTTTCACTATTTACCTCTTTGTTTTGGATGGGAGTCCTTACAAGATTTTACGGTAATTATGTTGTGAAAAGCTAAGTTGCCTACCTATCTATAAAAATGCTCTTCTGTACAGCTGTACCTAGATAGGGATTCATGTCCTTTAGAAATACTTTGTGTTGACTCTGCCATTTCTTTTTTTTAGAATGGGTGTAAAAAATTGGGTTGCGTGTATGTTTATACAGCCTGGAACTTGGTCTGCCTCAACGGGCGACGAGTCTCCCAGCTGTAGATGAGCAATTTATCCAGTGCAGTACAACCGCTAGCCTGGGGTCAGAATGGGTGCAGATGTTTACTTGTTAACTATTTTTTACTTTCCAGCTATAATGCATTCTTGGCCTTTTTTTTCTTTTTGCTGATGTTGTTGTTTTTACCCACACCCCTCTGGAATGCCCTCTGGGTCCTGAGGGTATTTAAATAAATAAATAAGAACTAGTCGGAAAAGCACAAATTAGAGGATTTTCATAAATTCTGAGTTATCCTCAAAGCGCTATTATTTGTGCTCACCAGCCCCCCCCCCCCCCCTCCAAAGAAAGAAGCTGAGGTTCCTGGCATTATTCTTGGTAAAGTGTTGAGTCAGCGGTCTCAAGGAAAAGCCACTCTAGTCTTCTCTCTAGTCTCATATTGGCAAAAAAGTGGGCTTAGTGCCAACGTTATTTATTTAATGTTGCTATATTTCTGTGTTGCGACAAAAGCTAACCTAGTAAACACGTGCCGCATGCAAGCCGCTGTTCAGGCCGCAGCAAAAGCTGTGTTTTCGTAACAGTGGAAACTAGCAACGGAGGCTGCATGCTGTCCAGTAACCAACGCTCCCACACCGCAAGCTGAAGCTCGCAGCATCGAGTCCTTTATTATGTGTAGTGCCCTTCACAACTAAGATGGCTTTCTGTACCTTTTTATGCATTTATGTAGAGATATTTATTTTTAATAATTATTCCAAAAATACAATTAAAGAAAATTTCCTAGAAATGTCGGAATTGCGGAGAATTTCGAATTAAATAGAGCTATGCTTAAAAAAACACCCTCCGATCTCGGAAACGCAGAACTCTAACATTATAAATTCAAAAGGGTCACCTTGCATGCCGGTACCATTTTCACATGGGAAGGTGTACAAGGATTAATTGTAAGCGACTGCTTGCTAGTCAGTAGAGAGTACAAAAAAGCCCACGTCTGTAGCCCTTTGGCCTTCTGAATACAAGTTAGTTTCTATACACATACAGCGTAAGGGTAACTCAGCATTGAATTAGCGCTGAAAACGGGGCTGACATAGCACTGATGCAGCACGGATCTACTGCATTTGGAACAGAAAAACAGAAATGGAGGAAGAGCAGTGAGGGTTTTTAGTTACTCCCTTTGATGCTTCATACCTGGGATGTCATAGCAGGGATAAGACTATCAGTCCCCACTGGGGCACTGATAGTATTATGAAATAAATAAATAAATAAATTATGTTGTAGAGCCTGCGATCCGGGTGACTTATCTTTTGCAAAAAAATGTATTTTGAGAACACTGTCGAAGCAGCTCAGTAAGTTTTCCTCCACTGCCACAAGCAGACATGCTCATATCTAATTATAGATTGCAGCAAGCTTTGGCCCAAGCACAGTCCCAAGGTTGCTAGTACTAGTACTGGCGTGCAGTCTCATGAAAATTGTAAAGCAATTTTGCATTAACTCGGGAGGAAAACACAACAGCATTTTAAGTGGAGAGGGAAACAAAACTGTTAAAGAGTTATCTCCAGCCTGTGCCACTCCAGTTTTTTAAAGAAGGATTTAAACAATACTTTTGAGAGGAGAAATACAGTGCTGATTTGTAACCGATTCCTGAACTGCATGAGGGAACTGGCTTTTGTTGTTGAGATGTCTGCCATTCAATGGGACAAAGCCAGGATGGGGCATGGTCATGTGGAATGCTTTATTTGTTCATATATCTTTTATCGAGGTGTGGTATAGCTGGTCGGGCTTTGCGGTAACCAAATTCTTAAATGTTAGGTGCAAATACTAACAGACAGAAAGCATTGACTTGCCCTTTGTGTGAAAAAAAAAGCATTGTACTTTCATGCAATATTCATAAACTGTGATAAAGGAGTAACATTTAGTGCATTCATAAAATTAATTTCCAAGTCTTATGTGTGCACAAAGCAATAGTAACAAATAATATGGATAGAAGTTATAACTAATGTAATTACAGGGTCATACAAGAAATGTGCATGTGGAATTTTAAGTACCATCACTCTTACAAGAGATTGTAGGTTTATGTAAGCATCCTTTGAAAGCAAGCACCCCAGTTGTGTTTTCGGTTAGACGCAACCTTTTGGGGAAAAAGGGGTGTCTAGAATTGCATTAATAAATACACATGAAAAGCTCAAAAAGGGAAACACTACCCCCAAAACAAATTTCTGCAAAAGAAGTTGATTTTGAAAAATGTGCTATTTACATCTGCCAACATCTAGAGTATTCCCAGAAAGTTTCATTTGTTTACAGTGCATAGTTACTTTTTTTAAATTATTTTCAGTCCACCAATGCTAAAGCTTCAAAGGTTCAAAGGTGTTTATTGGCTAAAACAACCATACGACCGAGAGCCTGAGGCAATCAAAAGGCAGAAGCCCGTGCATACATATGCTGATTTCCTCCTCAGCCATACGTTAACAGATGAAATGGAGATGTTGGAATGTAATTTACAAAAGAAGTGGTAGACATTCAAGCACTTTGAATGTGTTTTTGTCCAATCTACTTTTTGGCATAAATCCCACCCTAATAAAACTATTGTTTCAGATAAAACTGTCGAGAGACTTGATATTTGCGGCTTATATGCCGAAATATTATGGAGCTGGTTACTATGACCTTCGAATTTGCATTTTCATGTTCTTTTATAATAAAAAAAAATGTAATTTGCAAAACAATGTAGCAAGCAATGTAAAAAAATTAATTTCATAATTTGTTTTTAATTAGGAAAATGCATATATTCTGAAATTTTCTTTCATAGTAACCGGCAAAGGATATTCCAGTATGTATTCCACCAGAAAAATATGTGTTTATCAACACCATTTCTCAATGATAGATTCATTAAGCAGATTCCATGCAAAGCTATGCTTTACTTCGTTCTGGGGGTATAGTACCTCATAAAATTGGTTCACAGGGCTAAAACTTTGCTTGCCCTCCTTCTAATATGGCCGCAAACACCACCTGCAAATATCATGCCGATTGAGTGAGCGCCTCAAAAGCTGCGATAAAGAACTTGAAAAATAATCTATTGTGTGACGCAGCTAGCCTAAACGTAACATCAACATTTTGTTGCAATTTATTCACACACATTGGTGGCAGACTGGTGAGCAGATTTTGCTAGACTGGTAATCGTTTAGTAATTTGAAAAATAAACAGAGAAAATCGATGCTTGTGTCTTAGGGCTCACTGTGTCCTGTACTCCTCCTAGGTTGTCACTTTACATGTACAGGCAAGAAAAAAAATTTTAAATTACTTTCATCTTAATTATTTGCATGCTCGTGATGATTTATGTAACACTCTTTTTAAATTGTTTCCAAGCTTTGTTTAAACATGTGCCCTAACTTTTCTGCTTCCATCACACATCGATCCGTGAAACTTTTGCAAGTATTTCCTCTATGACATCAGCCCTGAACAAAACAAAGGTGGTGTCCTATGCAGTAAGCTTCTGACATTGTTTTGCTGGTTGGAAATTCCAAGAATGTCATTCCCCTCCCCATTTCTCTTTCCCTCCCTTCCCACAGTTCATCGGCGTGTGGCTGACTGTGCGTTACCGCAATCAGAAGGACCCTCGTGCTAACCCTAGCGCCTTTCTGTAACCGACACTAACCTCTTACTAACCTGGCTTGTAAGGGAAACTCTTTCTCAAGAGGCACTTTGTCAGCAAAAGGTAGGGGCTCCTTCAAACAGTCTCCCTTGCATTTCTTCTTTGCACTGTGGCCAACTGATCAAATATTACCCTACTTTCTTGTTATTCCTATTACTAACACTGTCGTCATTGTTTGTTCCTTGATTATGCGTGCAGTAGATAGACGTTGGATTCCATGCTTTCAGGTGCAAGAGTTTACTGAATGTCTAATTTGTTGTCCTTGCTGACTTTT